GGGGCGGCCCCCTTTTTTTTTTTTTTTTTTTTTTTTTTTTTATTAAAGATGACCGGTAAGGGGATCTTAACTCTTGGTTTGGTGTTGTCAGCACCACACTCACCTGGTGAGCTAAGTGGCCATCCATATATGGGATCTGAACCCATGGCCTTGGTATTATCAGCACCACACTCTCCCGAGTGAGCCACGGGCTGGCCCCAGGGTGCCTCTTTGAGTGGCTGCTACCCTCTGTGCCTGCCTGAAGGCAGGGTCCTCCTGGTTTTTTGCAACATGGATACCACAGGGGCAGCTGGCTGGTGAGAGTCTGAGAAAAGGGGCCAGTAGGCCAGGCCCCATGGTCACTTGTCTCTCTTCCCCTGCAGGAGGAGCCAGAGCCCAGTGGAGCAATGCACTCCTTAGAGTAATTCGCCAACAGATGTCTGAGCCCCCAGTGGAGCCTGAAGAAATCCAAGAAGGCTTCACAGAGGAGGTGCCATTTGAAAGGACCTTGAAGGCTGTGTAGAAGTTCTCTAGACAGATGAGATGCAAAGAGGCATTCAAGATAGAGGTAAAAATAAACTCTGGGAGGCAGGAGAGTACAGAGGGCTTGGGGGACCATGTGAGTGAGCGGAGAGCAGGTGTGGGTGATCGGCTGAGGTATGCCAGTGAGGGTCAAGCATGGATTGAGGACCTCTGCAAAGGCCAGCAAAGTCAGCAAAGGCCTAACTGAGTGAGCAGTGTGGAGGGCAGTGTGGGAGCCACAGAAGATTTATAAGCAAGGGAGGGACCAGATCAGACTTATGTTTTATAAAGATGAGTCAGGCTACACTGTGGAAGATGCATTGCAGTGGGACAAGGGAGGAGCAGGGACACGGGTTAGAAAGACTGCTGGGATCTGGGCAGCAGAAAACAGTGGACGGTGGCAACAATAGAAATAGATTTAAAGATACTTAGGAGGGAAACTCTGCAGGGTCAGGGGACTGCTTGGCTTAGAGGAGGAAGGTGGGGGTGGGGACATCAGGGTAAGGCCAGGAACCTACTTGACCCTCTGGGGATAACCTCTCTGCTTTAAATATCTTGGTTCTTATAGTAAATTGAAGCAGGTTATTTGGAGTCTGGCTCCCAGAAGGACTGACCATCTCCCAAGAGGGGAGGGACAGTGTTTCTATCATTTCGTTCTCCCATAGGGCTTACAAGGTTTTGGTGTGAAATTGAGCGTCAGTGAAAGTTAATGAGAGAATGTCAAGTTTGCCAATATATTTACAGGCAAAGCTCACTTGAGAAAATCACATTTTATCAACAAGCCCACAATTCAAAGAGGAGGGGAAATGTCTACCCACCCCCTACAGCTCAGCCACCCCCAGCTGCCTTCCCAAACCCCATGCGCCCCCTGGAGTAACAGCTGGTGAGCCAGGCCCCTCTGCCTCCTGGGTGTTCCAGAGACGACAGGATAGTTCTGTGCATTTCTTCTGCCCTTGGTCCTCCTACAAAGCAGGTTTGGGAAGCCAGGAATCTGAATCCTGGCTGGGGAATGAGGGTTTTTTTGTTTTGGTTTGTTTTTTTGTGGCTGGCCAGTTCAGGGATCTGAACCCTTGACCTTGGTGTTATAACACTTCACTCTAACCATCTGAGCCAACTGGCCAGCTCCTGGGGAATGGGAATTTGCACCAGCTTACTGTCCAGGGTGAGTTCCCAGAAGGGATCAGGGGGCCCGAGGGGTACTGTCCGCCATCCTGAACCCCCACCTTGGGATCTGAGGAGTCCTCCAGCCCTGCCTCCCCCTTCCTCCCAGGTACCTGAGAGCTGCAGGTACAGCTGGAACACTTTCATGGCAACCGTACCCTTGCCTGCTGTGTGACCTTCCGCCTCCTTCTAGAGGCAGACCACTGCCAGCTGGTGCCCGGCAAGTTCTTGGAGGACACTGCAGGTGAGTGAGCCTGAGACGGGGCCCTGGAGGAGGGGAGCAGGGAGGAGGCTGGAACCTTTCCCAGCACTGCCTTTGCCACCATGAATGGCCCAGGACAATTCCTTCACCCCTGTGGGCCTCAGTTTCCTCATCTGAGAAGTGGCAATTGTGAGCCAGAATGGTACAGGAGTGAAGAATTTGGGCTCCGGAGGCAAACAGACCTGAGTTTGAGTGCAGCTCTGCCACTTACTAGCTATATGACCTTGGGCAAGTCCCTTCCCCCTCAGAGCCTTAATTTCCTCCTCTATGAAATGGGCAGAGAGAGGGGGTCGTGGGTGCCATCTGAGGCTCTGTTGAGTGTCGGCATTCTCTGCTTCAGAAGAGGAACGGGGAAGACTTCTTTCAGAGAAAGAGTGACTGTTGGGGAGAGATTTGAAAGAGGGAAGTGGTTATGGGAGGTGCCTCAGGAGTGCCCCTCTCCTGCCAGCTCTCCCTGGCAGGGTTGCTCAGGCTGCTGACGGGAGCTGACAGGAGACAAAGAAGTGAGAGGGAAGCTGGAGATTCTGGAGGGGTAAGGCAAGGGGAAGAACTAGTGGATTTGGAGCCAGACACTCCTGATCAAGTCCCACTGCTGTTGTGACTAACCGAGTGACCTTGGGCAAACAACCTGGCCCCTTGGCGCTGCTGTTTTCCCAAGGGGCCTGGTACCGTCTGCCTCATGGTTGCTTTGAGACTCCAGTGAGATATCTCCAAGAATGCCAGGCATGGTGCCAGGTGCCAAGTTGCCTTCCATCCCCTCTTCCAGAGGACTCCCTGAGCTCCCACAACAGGAATCGCTTTACCATCTATGATGCTGACCATGATTTGAATGAGAGCAACTGTGCAGCGATTGTCCATGGAGCCTGGTGGTACCGATCCTTCTATCAATCCAACCTCAACAGGTGCTACGCAATGTCCGAGGCCACTGCCCACAAGAATGGCATCGACTGGGCCTCAGGCCTTGGCATGGGCCACGCCTACTGCAAGGTCCGGATGATACTTCACTAGGTCACCCTGGCAGCTGGGCTTATCTCTCCCAGACGGCTTCCGGACCCTCGGACCCTCAGCCACCTCCCCATTGCCAACTCCCTCCGCTTCCCTGTCCACATTTAAAAGTGAAATCATGTTAACCCTTCCCTGCCTTTCAGGACTCTTCCACTTACTGGAGAAATACCTAGAGGACAGAGCGGGAACACAAGCTTCATCAAAGGATGGGTAGACAAATATTTCCAGTGGAAAGAACTTCCTTCCACAGGAAGGTGGAAGGGACAGCTGCATAAATTAGTGAGGCTTCTGTCTCTGAGGTGTGCAAGACAAGCCAGAGGCATATAGTGGAAGGACTGGAGGAGAATCGAGCATCCACTGACGATTCCCCTGGGCCCTTCAGGTCCTGCAAGTGGGTGGTTTTATGGCAGGATCTGTACAGCTTTCTCACCCTCTCTGTTGCTCATGCCTGTCTGTCCCTTGTATGTTGTCTGTTTTCCACCCAGGCCTCTGTTGAAGGCCAAGTTCTCACCCTCTACTACTTCTTGTCTGCCCATTGGGGGCTGGTTTAAACCCAGGGTCAAACCAAGGAGAGTACATTTTTCTTCCATGAGGAAATGAAACAGTAGCCACTGAGCTAGCATTTCTTGAGCAGTTTGTTTGTCCAAAGCCACATTCTAGTAGGTGTCCATAGAGCAAAAAACCGTTGAGTCTGACTGGTAGTCCTAGGTTTGCATCCTGCTCTGTCAGGTAGCCCGGTGATATTGGTCAAGTTGCTAACGTCCCTAAGTCCCAGTTCCTGATGTCAGGGGCCACTGAGGCTTACTGCCTCAGGTTAGTGCCTCAGTCTCTAATTCACACTTAAAGTTAGGGATTCTTGGGGATTTGAAGCTGAGAAGCTGACTGTAGCCCAGAAGGCTGAAATTTCTGGGATTCTCTTTCAAAGGATGGACTGATATTTCCTGTGGGAAGTGCTTCTCAGGTCCCATGGCCATGTTCTGCATAGAAGTCAAAGGTCAGCAGGGCTCCACAGCAGGTTGGGCTCTGGGGAAAGCTGTCCCCCTGGCAAGAGGGTAAAAGCTCTGGCTAAGATGCCAAGTTCCACTCCAGGGCTGAAGGCCTTCAGGCAGGCCAGGGTGCAGGATTCCCCCATTCTGGTCCCTTCCTGTCTGCACCTGCTGGGCCCTGGAGGACAGCCACTATTCACCCTGTTCTGCACACCCTGATGTCTCTGGAGATCCATTCATTAACAGATCCCTGCAGGGAAGAGCCCGCCAATGGCGCCTCTCCCCAAGGCCTGGCCTGGGCACACATCTTATGAGCGCCTGCTGTAAGCAGTCCACAGTGGTTGGCGTGCACAGGGGGCACAGGCTGTTCCGGAAGCGTTCAGTCTCAGAGGTTCTGGCGGGAGAGGAGGGAGGGGAGAAGCCTAGTCCTGAGCCGCTAAGGAGCGGCGCTGCCCCAGGGCCGAGGGTGGAGCTTTCACAGGCGGCCGGGAAAGGGCTGTGCCCGTCTTACATGCAAGGGCAGGACCAAGCGATTGCGGACGCTCCCCTGATGAGTCTGGGTGGCAGACACGACCAGACCGATTCCTGGGATCCCCCACGTGACTGAGCCGCGGATCGTCGGATGCCCCAGGTTCCCGGGACACAATCCCTGATTTTAGATCCTCAGGATCTAGCAAGTCCGAGCTCGGATTTCTCTCTGGACTCAAGATTCCCGGAACGGGACGTCGGCCGGACTCCGGATCCCCAGATCCCGTAGGAGATTCTCCGATCTCGACCGGATTCCCGATCCGGATATCTCTGGATCTGCCGCTCCAGACTCCCGCCCCGCCCCGTGTTCCCAGCGGCGGGCGCCTGAGCACCCCCGCATGGCGGGGCCGTGCCCCGGGTCTGGGGCCCTGGAGCGCGCCGGCAGCTGCTGGCAGGACCCGCTGGCCGAGGCGCTGAGCCGGGGCCGGCCGCTCGCTGCGCCTCCGGGCCGGGGCTGTGCGCGGAGCCGGCCGCTCAGCGTGGTCTACGTGCTGACCCGGGAGCCGCGGCCCA